CCCCCCCCCACCCTTCCCGCTGCAGCACCAGCGTTTGTGACTGTTGAAGTTTTAGCTCCATCTCTTGGTGGTGGTGTTGGCTGACGGTGGTGGTGGTGGTGGATTCTCTGATCCCTGTCTGTTTGTTTGCTATTATGTTTGGGTCGGGTTTGGCCTTTTCTTTCCTCCCGGCTGTGTGTGTGCGTGCATGCGTGTGTGTGTCCTGATTCTAGGTTGCCTCGGTTTGTTTTGCTCGGGACGGGGAGAGGGTGCTTGGCTGTTTGGATTTGGATTTTTTTGTTTGTTTGTTTTCCGATATCATACATCACATTCCGAGTCGCTGGAGGTTACCGAGAGGATGGAGGTGCCCGTCTCGGCTCTTTCTGTCAAACTGGAGACGCTGGTGGTCGGGCTGGCCGCCGTGGACGGAGACTCGGCCGAGCTGTGTGTCGGGCAGCCGGGCTCTGCCAGCGACCGCATGCCGCTCTGTCCTATCGCCTGGTGCTGGAGCCTGCATCGCGCCGGGAGACAAAACAACAGCACAGCCCCGCTCAGACACCGGGCGCGGCCGAGGGGTCGGCGCCCGCGCGGCCCTGCGCCCTCCCGGGGACGGCCCGGCCCGGAGCGGGAGCGGACCCCGGGCCGTAGGCTCCCGCAGCGCCCCGCGCAGCCCGGAGCGAGCCGAGCCGTGCGGCCGGGCCGCGCTGCCCCCGCCGCCGGGCCCGCCGCCTCGGGGCCACGGAGCTCGGGGCACGCACAGCGACAGGGACCGCGGTCTGAAACGGGACGGGGAGCGCGGGGACGAGCGCTTCCCCGTGCCCGCCTTTGCAAAACGCGAGCAGCGCTTCTCTCTAACCGGAGTGCCATTCATTCATCCCCGCAGCACGGCGGGCCTAGGAGAAACCGTGTGTGGGTGAGCCCCTGCAACGCTTGGACACCGTGAAAAGCTTCCAGGAGCCGTCCGTAGCGGGCAAAAATCCTACTGGAACCCCATTTTGTGCTCTAGCCAACACCTGCCTAAATATTTCCCAGTGCACAGACACTGTGCGTCTGCGGTAGGGAAGGAGGGAGGTCCTGTCCCAGGGACGCAGCGCTATGAATAAAATAAATGAAGGAGAATGTGGAACACAGCCCTTCTCTCCCCTCGAAATTTAAGTCTTTTTTCATCTGAAAGCCATAATCAGCTTTAAAGTGCTTGTTCTTTCATTTCTTTCCTTGTTAACGCTTAAGGGAATATTACCTTTGAATTTTTATTTATTTTTTTAAGAGGCAATAAATATTTTTTAGGTACCCTAGCGTATTGCAAATATTCCTCTGGGTCCGTTTATTCCACTCGAAACCCAAAGAAAGTCTAATTCAGGGATAAGAGCTAAAAGTCCTGGACTGAGCAGCCAGCCTCAACCTCTAGCGCCTAGGATTGTCTGTGTGAATCAAAACACACTCTTCGCTCAAATGTTTCTCACTGGGGTATATTTTTTATTTAACTTCCTGCGAAGACCATTAAAAATGTAGCCGGCTTATTCTACATTTTTCATTATTTTAAGTTGTCTAATTTCAGGGTCTTTGATTTTTCTCTCATTTACAAATCCTGGTGCATTCATCTGCTGTCAACAGCGTTGAGTCAACAAAAGCATCCGTAGGCAACTTCTGTTTATTTACAGTCCTAAGCTGATCTGTTTTCCATTTAATGGAAATTAAATAGCGAGGCACTTTTAGGTTGCATTTCTCCTACAGAATCTTTAATCAGTAGCACCACTGCTATAATTAGGAGGAATTTAAGAGACACCATTTATAAGAAGAAGTTTTTGTTTACACGCTTACAGTGATAGCGAAACTTAAAATAAAACCAATGTGTCAAACTACATTAAGGGTCCATTTTCATTTGCAAAATAACTTTTGCGACAATAATGAGAAAGAAAGGAAGAAAAGGCAAGAGAAAGGAAGAAGGGTGACGCGCTTTTATCCTAGCAAAGCGGAAAGGAAAAAAAAAAAAAGGAAAAAAAAAAAAAAAAGAAAAAAGACACCGAGACACACTCAAATAAATGCAAGTGCAAATGCACAGGAAACACACGACCAGGAGGCCAGGTCGCCATGTGGTGTAAACACAGAAATGGAGATGCAGGGGGGAAAAAAGATTCCCAGTCTCTTAAATGTTGTTTTGTTTTTGTTGTGGGATTTTTTGGGTTTTGTTTTTTATTTTTTCTCGTCTCCATGAGCCAAAGAGCTCTGGGGTATGCCTGTGCTGGTCCTGCTGCGCATGCAGAGCAGCACGAACAATTGGAGCGGAGCCGCCGGCTCCGCCGAAACCCGCCCTGAACCGCGCAGCCTGCCTCGGCCTTTCGGCCGGGGAACCGCGCCTGAGACCGGCCAGGCACAAATCCCGGCAAGCCGAAAGCCAAACCGCAGCCCAGCGACCCAGGGCCGTGGGGTTTCCCGTCCCCCGCGCCAGCCGCCGGCGCAGGGAGGGGAGGGAGGCCGGGAGAGTCGGGCGCTGCCCCCGTCGCAGCCGATGCGCTCCGCGCATATTTACACACACGCGCGCCCGCGGAGCTGCCCACGCCCGCCGGGAGCCCCAGCCCTGTCCGCACTCCGAGAGCCCGAAGAGAGCCGGGGCAGGGCTGGCGGCACGTCAGGCAACTTTGAGCCGTGCCTGTCCCCGCCGCGTCCCCGCGGCTGCCGGGAGAAGACCTACCCGCCTGGCGGGGGGACCGATTTCTCCCCAGTGGAGAGGAGGAGGAGGAGGAGGAGGAGGAGGAGGAGGAGGAGGAGGAAAGGAGAGGCAGAGGCGCGCTGTCGCCCAGGCGGCTGCCGAGCAGCGGAGCGCGGCCGTCCGCCCGCATAGTCCCGCCGCCCACCTCGCCCCCCGCCCCGGAGAGTGGCACAGCAGCCCCACTGACCTGTTTTTAGCCGCCGCTGCTCTGTCTCTTTGCCTTCGGTTTTTGAACCAGTTGCCTACTTGCGTGGGGGTGAGCCCCGTGGCCTGAGCCAGTTCCCTTTTCTTGCTGGGGTTGGGGTAAGGGTCCTGCAGGTACCACTCCCTCAGGAGGCTGCGAGTCCTCTCCTTGAAGCAGTGCGTCTTCTGCTCGCCATCCCAAATGGTCCTGGGCAGCGGAAACTTCTTCCTCACCCTGTATTTATCAACCGGCCCCAGCGGGCGACCCCTTAGCTTCTCGGCCTCCTGGTAGTGCGCTTCGAGCCACATGGCCTGCAACTTGCCATGGGACTCCTTGGTGAATTTGTGGTTCTCCAGGATGTGGTAGAGGTCTCGGAAGTTGCCCGTGTGGAAGGCCACCACCGCCCGGGCGCGGAGGATGGACTCGTGCTTGTTGATGGCCTCGCATGCCCCCGGCGCCACCGGCAGCGACCAGAGGAACCTCCCCAGCCTTTCTATGTCTCCAGTCTCCTCCAGCGTCTCGCAGACGCTGGCCACTTGCTCCGGGGAGAAGTTGAGTGTGGGCAGCTGAAACATTGACAACTCTTCGTGGGGTGCCCGGGAGCTGCCGCCTCCACCGCCGCCGGCACCGGGGCTGCAGCCCGAGCCGCTGACGCTGCCGCCGCCGCCGCCGCCGCTGGCGAGAAGGAGGGAGCGGTGGTGCGGATCGGCGGCGAAGTTTGGCAAGAAGAAATGGGTGGGATAAAGCTCTAGCGGGGACCTGAACACCATGGGATGACCGGGGAGAGGGGGAGATAAATCAAGGAGAAAAGAAAGAAAGGGAGGAAGAAGGGAGGAAAGGGCACACGCACCGCGCACGCATCCACACCCGCACACGCACACACAGCCACATAGAGGCACGGGGGCACACACACTCACACGCACACGCGGGCACACGCACACGCGCGCTCACACACACCCCACACGCACACGCACTCACACACACCCGGCCCCGCGCCGCCGCCGAGTCAGGATTCAGTGATTCAACAGCGATCGCCCTAATGACAACAGCCTCATAATATCTCCCCTAAATCCACAGTGAGTGCAGCGCTGAAACATTTTGTTTCGCTTTTCTATTGGTCTTCTGAGTGTCGTTGTGGCGTTGCCATGGCAGCCGCTGCCAATCACTGTCAGCCCTGCCAATCATTACGGAGTACGTAAGGAAGGTTTTTACCACTTCGCCCAAATGCACGGGGGGGAGGGAAGCCGGGCGGTTGGTGGAAAAGCCTGGTTTGTTGTTTGGATTTTTTTTTTTCCTCCTTAATCTTTGCAACTCCTAATCTCAGCACTTCCCCTTCTCCCTGTCTCTCCCCCCTCCTTCTCCACACCCCTCCTAAATAAGGGATCAAATAATGCGAAAAGCAGTGTGCACATATTTGTTGAATGGGATGAGCAATTAGAGGGTGGAATATTATTGTGATCTTAACGAGCCTCGTTAAAGCTAAAGGAGATATGGGGGGAAAGTAAATGGGCCAGGCTGGGATACACGTTCGGATAAAGGGCTCCTAACTGAGACAATTTACACATGATTTGCACGTAGTTTCACTTCATTCTGCCTATCTGAGCACTAATAGTGCCGGGGAAGAAAAGAAAGATGAGATCATTAGACCCATCCTCGCGCCGGTGACCCTCCCAGAAGCAGGCAGATACAGTACAGGCTGGGTTTAGCCCTGGTTCAGGGAAGAGTCTCTCCTCCCCTCTCCCGCTCCCTGCCCCTCTCCGCGGAAGGAGGGATCCGCTGTCTGCGGAGTTCCTCGGCCGCTCCGCCGGGAGCCGCCCAGGGCGCCCAGCCCGGATCTGCTCCGGCGGCCCGGCTCCGCGACCGACCCCAGCGGCGCCCCGCTCGCTGCCTCCCCCGTCCCACTCCTCGCTTCCCCTCCCTCCCGCTCCTTCTCGTCTTCCCTTTCCCTCTCCTTTCTCTTCCTTCTCTCCACTTTGTTTTTCTTGTATTCTGGCTTTCCTCCTCCCACTCGTCTCACCTCCCCTCGCCCCTTCCTTTCTCCGGAACCCAGCGACCTTGCGAGGTTGTTCCTCACCCCCAAATCCGCCGGGGCTTTACCCCGTACCTCTCCTTTTCCCCGCTAACTCTGCACCCCAACTTGCAAGGCTCTCGTGCGGGGAAGAGGAAAGGGATGCGAGCCAAAGTGGTTTTGAGATTTTTAAAAATTTTATTCATTTATTATTTTTATTATGAAATTGAGAGCAGGAAAATATCCGTAGCGGTGGTTTGAGTCCATCCCTCAGTAAAACACAGCTGGGTCGTCAGACCTTGCTACCATGCAACTATATTTATTATTAGGTATGTTGCTTTTAAGAAGATTTAATCAGCATCTTGAGCTGGTAACTCTTTTGTTTGGTTTCTGTAGCTATGGAAGTGTGATTTACAGAGATTTGTACGGGTCATGGACATCTTTCCAGACTTACTGTGTATATTTAGACAGGACTTTGCTTGGTGTTAAAAAGTGTATATTTTGAATAGGTTCACACACAGTAGCAAACAATACCGACATTGTAAAGGCATGTACAACGAGTATTGAAACGCAGCATCCAGACTTCAACTAATCTGCCCTCAATAAAGCTGAAATAATTATCCTAAGCCGCCTTTCTAGAAGAAAAATCATTCAGGAATTCAAAACTTTTTTAAAGATCTTTTCTGCATTCCGATGGAGATCGAGGGGTGAGGCTTGGAGCCCAAACTACTTTCAGACATCAATGGAGGGAAGGAGGGGGGGAAGTGAGATATTACAATTAAAATGTGAAAACATAGCGTGACTTGCCCTATCCGAAGGATAATAATAATACTGCTATGGGTGGTAGAAGTTCTTTAGCTGCGCTCCAAACTGGTTGTGATCCTTTCACAGCGCACTCCTCGAGAAATAATTCTAAGTGGCAGATGAATAGGTCCAGTTGGAAGAGCTGCTGGACTGGAAGAAGCTCGCTGTATGACACATTCATCTGATTTCCACTAAACTGTCATCGGTGTGCTACATGGCTTCATAGTTCTAATGGAAATAATTCGCCCTTTTAATTTTTAGTGATCTGCTTAAGCACTTCTGGTAACAGACTTGGGAAAAACTTCTTTTTACACTCTCACCTTCCCTGGCTCATAAGGAGGGAAAGAGACTTCTCAGCCCCTCTGCAAATCGACTTGGAGGTATTAATTGGACAACAATATGTTTAGCCAAAGATTTTAATACACACACACACACACAAAATCTTTTTCTTTGTAATCCTTTCCTTTTATGTAAAGGATTATAGAGGGGAGAGTGGGGGGAATTCCTGCGGGAGTTTCTTAATATTTGATTCCATTTTCTTCCAGCTGTAAATTAAACTACCTTAAAATGTATTTCCAGAATAACAATCAAATCGTCTCTGTTGTTTTGGGTTTGTTTTTTTTTTTTTTTTTTTTTTTTTAATCACACAGACTACCATACACTGGTCGTTCAGCTTTAGGTTGCAACCCCTCTATTAGTATTCCTGATGAATCTCTGAAAGCTTCTACATATATTCTTTCTTTCTCTCTCTTTTCCTTCAGCCTCTCTCTATTTTCCTTTCCCCCCATTTTTTTTTTTTTTTTTTTTTCCTTTTTTTTTTTTTTTTCCTTTTTTTTTTTTTTTTCCTTTTTTTTTTTTTTTTTTTTTACCTTTCTCCCCACCAGACATATGAAGCATGTAACAGCTGCATTTCTGGCGAAAATCTTTCTTCCACAATATCCTTTCGTAGGGTATTTTAATGCATGTACTCTGTGTGCCTGTGTGTTTATAACCAAACAAACCCACAACCCTGCCTATCAGCTAATACCAAGGTCTTCCTGAAGCCCAGTGTCCTCTCTGTGCCGCGAAGGTCCAGCACGGGAGCTCTGCTAGCCAAAGGCTCTTACGAGGACGGACCCAGCATCCTCAAACATTTCCGCCGGCTCTCGCGGCTGGAAGACGAGGGTCACCGAGGCGCGGTGGCCGTTAGCCAGACCTCGGGGAGCAGATCCTGCTTTTGCCCAGCCCGGCCGGGGATTCAGCGCTCCCCTAAGCCTGTTAGGGACACACTCTCATGTCCTGAAATGTGCAAGCAGATAATTGTTGGCGCTCCAGCTTTGTGTGAGGAGGCCAGGGTGTAAATGGCTTTTAATGACTGCAGCTGCTGGCTGCAAACTGTCAATGGGATCGGCTAATACCGAGCCCGGACCCGCCGGGCGCCCAGCCGCAGCCGCCGCGGACGCCGGGCGGGCGCAGCCGCGGGCGCGGAGCGGAGCGGAGCGGC